GTCGACGCCCACGCTAAAATAGTTATAGACGTGTATGGTCTTCAAGGGCTGCATCTGGATGGGAAGACGATAGTGCAGTTTCTCAATTTGCAGATCATATCTATCAAGATTAACGGATTTGGCACGTCTAATGCTTCGCAATATCTCCAGTGGATCGAGCACTGAAGGCGGCTCAGCGCCCCAGCCCAACACACGGGACAAATCGTTGCCGGTGCCCAGTGGCATGATAGCCACTGATGGTTGAGGTTTATGTTCAGCATGTAGATGGTGTTAAGCACCCAGCCAATTGTTCCATCACCACCTGCAACTAAAATGCGACATGGACGTGGACTGGTTTTTGCTACCATTGGAGGGCATCAAGCGGTCCTCTTGAGCCCAGTTCCATCACCTGCATTGGGTGCAGATAGCCACGCAATAGCGACAAGACATTTGCGGCTGTGTTACTGCCAGATTTCGTATTAGCTATAACAATTAGTGGTTCCCAGTTTTCAATGTCGGGTGGTTAATGCCTGCGATATGCAAACGCACCGATTCTCGTGTCCTGGCTGCTACAATGCTGTAAGGCGGATATATCATGTCCCGAAACTCTCCAAAGTCACATTCACCTTTGGCGTCAACTTTCTTATAGCAGATGTCGTGGTAACATCGTTGGCACCAGGCACATCGCCAGCCATAGAGACCTGGTCCCAAGCTGCTGCTATGATGATCGTGTTCAGCTTCCTGGCCGCACTCCGTGCAACTGTAATTCATAGGCAAATTGCCGCGCACCCACAAATGACGTACTGCGTCTGTATTTCGTAGCCATTTGTCCTTGCAGTGATAACGAGCGTCCGCCTGCCTTTGACATGTCGGCTCCGAGTGCGTGCAAAGGCCGCAACAGTCGCAGAAGAGACCCGCAGACGGTTGTCAACAAAATCTCACACACATTACAAAAGCAGGCCTACGAAAAGTGATAGATAGAAAATAGTACTAGGTACATATGAAGTTTTCTTGACACATACTTGTTCAATGATTTTTATTGATTTCCAACTATGACGTGTTTTCCCCGATATGCAAATGACATCTTCCATTAAAATGCTGCGACAGAAAATGAAGAGCATGCTCAGCGCCACGAGCGAGCCAATGAGCGCTTCCACGCTAAGCTCAATGCTGGCAATGTCCATTTCTATTTACCTATGTTACACCAATTGCCAGACTTAAATTTTCACATTTTTCATGTTTACGTTTTAAATTCAATGAATGGTCCAACTAATTATAGCCAGTGTTGCAAAACGTTCGCATGCAGCTGAGCGCTAATAATACGAGACGGTATCTGTTTGTAAATTGGCTTTGTCGAATGTTATTTTGGCCTTGGCGGTAATTTACTTTATTTATGGAGATTATATTTAAAGTTAAACGTAATTTTTATTTTATTTTAATTGTATTCTTTAAAGTACTAAGCAAGCATAACTCCTTTGCATTTCATGACACGATAGTTGTTATTTTTCTACATATTTTGTCTAATATCGGCGCAAGTCAGTGTTGCGAAACTCCATGTGAGATACTGCACGTGGAGGCACACATTTTTTCAAAAACATTTTTCACTAGCGAAGCGTGGAGGGACTGAAATATGGGACGCAAAGCTGAATATAGTGAAAAACAAAAGAAAGGGCCAGGTCGAAAGGCGCGCAAACAGGGAGCACCAAAGTTTCCGAAGAAATCATTTGGTATTTATAATAATGCTACTGCCACTGAACAAATATATTAAAATATTTGTTTTCAGCGCCGCTCGACGATGAGGATAAGAGATTGTCACACCGTCAAAAAACAGCGCGTTGCCAAGCGGGAACAAAAAAGGTAGTGCAGAAGGCGAAATTAAAGGATAAACGTGCACAACAGCCTCGTAAACAGAAAAAGTATCACAGCGAGAGCGAGAGCGAGCCCGAAGCGAACCAACCGCCAGAGTCATCAGACGAGGAAGTGCCGCAACTTGTGCCAATCAAAAAACAAAAGTCAAATGGCTTCAAAAATGACGATAATGAATGGCTAAAGTTGAAGTCGAAAAAGCAGCAGAAAGCGAAGAAGCAAGAATCAGATGAGGAACTAGAAGAGGAACAAGAGCCCGAGAATGAATTTGAATCTAGTTCGGAAGAAGCGGAAGACGATGAGGAAAATGATGTAACCGATGGAGAAGAGGAGGAATCAATTGATGAGGATGATGACGAAGCTCAAGTCGGTAAATTGGACGATCTTTTTGATGACGATGCTGAAGATCAAGCAACCGATGAAGAATCAGACAATGAAGATGATGATGATGATGATGATGATGAGATGATGATGATGATGATGATGATGATGATGATGATGATGATGATGACACATTGGCCTATTGAGCGTGCTAGCAAAAACTTAAGAAGCGTCGGGACAAAGATGATAAATTGGCTCAGGAGGAAATGCAGATGTCTGTCGATCAGTCGGAAGTGTTCCATTTACCAGAGCCCGGCGAAGATGCTGAGAAGGAGCTATCTTTACAGGATGTCCAACAGCGTATTAAGGATATAATACAGGTACTCTCGGACTTTGGCAAATATCGGCAGGAAGGTCGTGCACGTAGCGAGTATGTTGACCAGCTCCGTTTGGACCTATGTTTGTACTACAGCTATAATGAGTTTCTTATGTCGCAGCGCATGGATATATTTAAGTTGAGCGATCTTATGGAGTACTTGGAGGCGGTCTGAGGTGGGTTCTTAAAGTACTATTTCTAATTTGTGGATAGTAATTAATTTTTATTTTATTTATTTATTTCTTAGGTGGCGCGTCCGTTAACTATACGCACAAATTCTCTAAAGACACGTCGTCGAGACCTTGCTGGCGCGTTAATTAATCGTGGCGTCAATCTCGATCCGCTGGGCAAGTGGACAAACGTGGGCCTTGTCATATTTAATTCAACTGTTCCACTGGGCGCCACGCCTGAGTATTTAGCTGGTCAATATATGATACAGGGTGCTTCGTCGATGCTGCCAGTGATTGCGCTGGCTCCGCAGGAGAACGAGCGAGTGCTAGATATGTGTTCTGCACCTGGTGGCAAGGGATCACACATAGCTGCCGTTATGAAGAACAAGGGCGTGTTATTGCCAACGATGCAAACCGGGATCGCATCAAGGGCCGTTGTTGCCACTTTCATCGCTTGGGCATTGTGAATGCTTGTTGTTAGCTGTGAAGATGCGACCAAGTTAGAAACATAATGACGGGCTTTGATCGTGTGCTGCTCGATGCGCCATGCACTGGCACAGGCGTTGTCTCCAAGGATCCTAGTGTAAGGACAACTAAATCGGAGATCGATGTACAGCGATGCTATAATTTGCAGCGCAAGCTTTTGCTTACCGCCATCGATTGCGTGGATGCTAAATCTTCCACCGGTGGATATGTTGTATATTCCACTTGTTCAGTACTGCCCGAGGAGAATGAATGGGTCATCGACTACGCTCTTAAGAAGCGAAATGTTAAGCTTGTGCCTTTAGGTATTGATTTTGGTGAACCTGGCTTTACCAAGTTTCCGCCAGCATCGCTACCATCCCAGCTTAAATTTGAGCATGCGCTTTTATCCGCATACAAACAATATGGATGGCTTTTATGTGGCTAAACTGAAAAAGTTCTCAAATACCATTCCCATCACTAAGGAGCAACAAGAAGCGGATGAGAAGCAGTTAGATGAAGCACTTGCATCAGATCAGCCTGAATCGAATACGGCAGAAACTAAGGAAGAGGAGGCAACGGAACCATTGAAGGATCCCGAAAAACGTACCGGAAAACGTGCTGGCAAGCCCAACCTTACGGACGTAGAACATGACCTAAAAAGAAAAAGCTTGAACAAAGTAAGACGAAATATGTTGCCAGGTATTGAGAAGCCCATCAAAGTGACCAACAAGGCAAAGAAAGAGCAGACGCGCCTGACTCTGCCGAGAAAAAAGAAAACACCGTTGCTACTTCCCCAATAGTCAAAAATAAGCAGACGGACACCACAATCGAATGGCAATAAGAAACAGAAAGTGCTGAAAAATGAGCAAAAAGCTACGGCGCAAAAAAATGAACACAATGCTAAGCCAACGTCTAAATTAACTAAGAAACTTTCACAGGCGCCGAGAGTGGATATAGATGAACTGCCATTGCTGGAAGGAAAGCCCATCAAAATGCAAAACAAACTGAAAAATAAGTCAAAGCAGTTGGGGCAGTTGAAAAAATCCAAGAAGACAGTCGACAGAAAGCAAAAGCTTAAAAAATAATCTGAAATATAAATAAGTTTTTTAAAAAGTTGATGGCGGGTTTGTTGCGAAACTTAAAATATGTAATAAAAATATATATATTGTATATTTATAACAAATATTTAGGCTAGCTCAGCATAAACCATGCAATTATTTGTTTTTATAATAGGTACTAAATATTTTGGATCATAAATGTTTCGTAATCAACATAACAATAAATGTATTTTTATTAGAACTTCCATACCATATATGCTTTTTATCACAATATATATTAATGTATATATTCTATATAATATCATCATGTATAATACTTTCGTATTTAAACTGCAGCGCAGAGGCAGATAAGGTTGAGGCGTTGGATGGATTCAACATTAAATCTTAATTTCAGTGCGAGAAGTAGAAGCGAAATGTTTAAGAATAATTTTTGGTTTATTGTGGTGCATTGTTTGGGCTGTGACTCACTGCAAAGCGGATATTAATTTAGCCACGATGCACAGCATCCGGTCGAATCTGGAGTCGGCGCGTCTCGCCTTGTACAAATTTCTGTGCGTTTGCATGTGGTAATTGGTCTGCCAACTACGTGGACAACTTTCAGCTGGCGGAGAAGAGATATGCCGATGCAATGATTGCTGTTCTGACAGACAACAGCAATATGGATCCTCCACGCCTATTTAAGCAACTCCAGGACTATTTCAGTTCATGTGTAGGTCATCCACAGGAGAAGCAGATCCAATTGCCACAGGAAACTACTCTCTGGCGATGCCTTCGAATGGACCGCGGGCAACGGCCAGACTTCGCAGATATGGATTGAATGGTGTTTTCTTCGATGAGATGGCGGATGTTGCTTACAACGACTCGCTCCGCTATGTAGTGGAGCTCAAAAGGCCAGTGGCTCGAAACAACCACTTGGTGAGTGAAATCAAAAAGTAAATGAAATATAAATTGTACTTCAACTGCCTTTTTGAAGCCTCTAAGAACTGGCCTCCAGCTGTTGGAAAAGGCTCTGCGTGATTTACGGGAGAAACATCACAACGAGGAGTCGCTGCTGCACCTGTGGACATTGAGCAAGCTGAAGCAGGAAATACCGCAGATCGAGTGGCAAACCTACTTTGAGGAACTGCTGGAAATGGAGCCCAGAGATGATAAGCTACTCGTGCAGATTAGCGATGTGGAATATTTCCGAAAGCTGGGCGAGCTGCTGCGTGAAAGTAATAAAACCATTTTGGAATTCTATCTAAGGAGCGACTGGCTAGCTTTGTAAAGGAAGCCAAGCCACGCTCCACAGCGCACAGTTGCATACATCATATGAGTGCGTTGCTTCCCTTGGGCATGAACCACCTCTACGATCGTTATGTATATAGAACAAGGTCGGAGGACATGCGGCAGCTGCAGCAGATGTTTGCCAGCTTACGCGGCACGTTTGCCAAATACTTGGAGCTGAATCGATTGGAGCTAAGTTCCGAGCAGTTAACCTATCTACATGCCAAGCTGGCGAACATGCAATTGAAACTGGGCAACCTACCGGATACAGCGAGCACCGATAATGATTTCTATAATAATCACTATGCCAGTGCATCATTTACGGCTGACGACTTTGTGGAAAACTTTTGGCAGGCCCTGCGTTTACGTACGCATCTGCAGCATTTGCCGTTGAGGCAACCAGGAGCGACTGTGCAACTGAAACTACTATGTGAATGATGACTTGGTTAGAGCCCGCAATGCGCCTTATTTTGAGCATGAGCGAAATATGTTGACCGTTCCATTGGTCTTCATGCAGTGGCCCTTTTACGATTATCGACAGCATTCCGTTTTTCGACATAGTCTGATGGGCTTTATACTCGGTCACGAGCTTAGTCACGCCTTCGAGCAGGAGGGCATACTCTTCGATGCCGCGGGCAACGAGTTGGTACTCGGATTACAGATACGTCAAATGTCAAATTTCAAGCTGCCCTAAAATGTGTCCAGCACTCGCCAACAGCATCGCTGAAGGAGCGATTGGCAGATTTCAACGGACTCCAACTGGCTTATGACACGTTCTTTGGGTTGGGACATGATTCAAATCGGTTTGAGTATCGCCCATATGAGTTTGAGCAGGAGATGTCGCCGCCACAGCTCTTCCATTTGAATTTCGCGCAGTTCTTTTGTGGCCGTCTACCAACAGCCATAGGCCATGACATGGACGATGTGCGGTTAATGAGGCCGAACACAATTTGCATCAGTTTTCCATTGATTTCAGTTGTCCGCGGCAACACTCAGACTCCATCGGCTGTGAAATGTGGCGCCCAGCCAGCCGTTAAGAGGGCAATTGCACTTGGAACATTGTATAAATGTATAAATACAAATGTAATATGTTATTCGAAATTTAGTGTCTTTAATAGATTGAATTTCGATATATAGACTATATCGTTATTTTTTTGCAATTTCCAAGTATTTGAAGCTCGCAATTCTCTACAATTCTCAACGCTTCCTTCGAATGGATTATAAATTGTTATTCACAACAGTTCAATTGTCTTTTCCATATGTTAATCATGTTTTTCATCATTTTAAGTTCGTCTATCACAATGCGTTTTTTGAGCCGCTTTCAGCACAGGGTGCTTATTTGTTATCGCAGCAATAAGTAATCGACAAAAAGTATTTAACGGCCCATTCAGTTTGATTGTTAATTGCAGGTGTCGTGTTAAGGCATAGGCAACGACATCGTCACATTCGATGACAATTCAACAATGCAAATGCAAATGCAAAAGCTATCTCTGATGTAGTAAAGCTGAATAAGATACCCTGTTTCAGGAGTAGCTATGAAGAGTAGAGTTCCTTTGGCACTAAGTGATGACAGTAATTGCTAGGCCCAGGCGGACTGAACTATGTTGTGCTTGGAACACAACAAACACATGCTGCACAAGGCCAATACACTCACGTTCAATTATGGGCATAGAGTATAAAAATGTCGGTCTCAGTTAAGCGGGAGCTTTAGTTCTCTTCTGCACTCACACACTGACACAGACCTAATCAGGTTGCCATAGCCACAAGTTGTTGCGAGCATCGCACAGTGGAGCAAATGCTACGAAAATCATAACATCGAATTTTGTTATTAATAGTTAATAAATATTCTAGAAAATACCAAATTAATTTAATTTAATTTTTAATTTTTTAATTTTTGCGGAAAGCTTTACAGCTTTGTTGTCAGTTCTTTTTAACTTACTAAAAAACTACTACAATCTGAATGCTTATCAAAATAAGTCTTGCTTACTGTTGACAAATACAGACGAATGTTTATAATAAAAGTTGCGTCATTTACAGATTGTATACAAGTTGTTCAACTTGTTTTTGGAATTCTTAATCTCTGATGGATATTGGACAAAATTTGAATCAAAATTATACATCAATACTATTTTGATGAAACCATTGGGTCAAATGGTTAATAAACAAAAACAGCGTGAATTAGGGACATCAGAACCACATAATCTGGGTAACTAATAGATAAGTTATACTAAAGAAAGGGAATATTTGCTTGTATGAATTTTTAATAAGTGGAGGAGAACACAACAAACACATGCTGCACACACAGCCAATACACTCACATTTATTATGGGCATTGAAATGATATTGTAGCTCAAACTGGAGTAATAAATCTTTTCATTGGACTTAGATTAAGCTAATCCACTGCATCCATGACCACTGTGCCTGGTGTCGTCGTATCCTGTGTTTTCTTTATTTGTGGGCGTCGTCAGGGCAAAGTTTGCTTGTGTGTGGGCTTCACTCCCGCACGGTAAGAAACAGCGAACGAACAGACGCGAAAGCTCCCTCCCGGTCGTAGTACATCGCTGTCAGTTGCCGTTATTAGACGTGAGCTTTTGGTCGGTTGACTTCGTTATCTTGATTGCGAATCTCGTCGCAGCCTCCGCCCTTTATAACATTATAGATTCGGAAAGCCAAAAAAGTCACACAAAAATATAAACAAATTTAAAAAAAAAAAACAAAAATAAAATATAAAATTACAGACAGTTTATTATGTTTTACTCTTGTCTTGTAATGTGTGACTAAATATACTATTTTATCATTTCGCTATCTGCAATTAAAATATTCTATGTTTGCGTGCGATCCAAAATTAACTGTGCTGAGCAGCGACGCGTGAGTTTTGAATATATGTTAATAATATATATATAAATAATATACATTAATAATAATTTTATATGTGTGTGCGAGTTAAGTAATAAAAAATGATAAGGCGATAAACATTTAAGGCTGACAACATGTGAGCGA